TGCTTTGGAGTGGCAATCTGTTCTACTACTGAAGTAAAATCCGCCCACTGGCCAAGGCCCCACACAAGGTTTCCCTTGCACAGGACTCTCAGAGAGAACGTGGACCACATGCATAAGCATTCAAAGGCCAGAGCAAGAGTGAACTGATCAGGGGGAGGATGAGCTGGGGACACGCTAAAGGACAGTGCCTGAAGCCCAGCACCTGGTGATGTTTAAAGGCATGTGCTGAGCAGGAAAGAGAGGCTCCCTTAGCTCTGCGCATTCCCTTTTAAGGAGTCCCCCCTCCCTCCCTCTGCAGAAGCTGCTGCCTACAGAGCCACCCAAAGGCCAATGTACAAGCCAACAAAGTTTTAGAGGCTACAGTAAGAGACGCACAGAAAAGACGCCTTTGTAACACCTGTAGGCCAGAAATGTGTAAACAAAATATACTCCGAATACACCTCAATAGTTAGGGATATTGAATGTGTCAATGTAAAAGCAGTATTAAATTACAAGGTCAGAAATGTTTGCCAGTGAACACAAATGAGAAAATAAGCGTGCTCCAGATGGTCCAAAGATTCCTGCCACTATCTGAAGAATGGGGTTTATCTCTACTTCCTCAAATGGCTTTGACATTTTTGAGGCTGAGCATCACAAGCTTTTGTGTCTGGCTCTATCCCTCAGAAATATTTTTTTGGCTTCAAGGTGATTTTGGGGAAAGGAGATGGTAGTTTACATTTGTACCTGGAAGAAGCTTTCCACATATTGCAGCAAGTAGACCCCACAGTCACTGCTGTTATCTTGTTTAGGCACTCTGGGGCAGAGGTCAATCATTGTTGATTTACTGAAGTCTCGATGTGTTTTTCGTTTAGCTTCCCACTCTACTTCAAGGTACCTACAAAAGAATGCAGATTAAATACTTGAGAAATAACTCCCAAGCTCAATGCATTTTGGGATGCTACTCAGTACTGTTCTGGAACTAGCAGAAAAGCTAAAACAGCTTAAACTAATTTCTTACATAGAATCTGCCAGACAAATCAATACAAGGAACAGCATGATTTCCACTATCCAATAATCTATCACACTCAGAGGCATCTCAACTACATAATATGCAATGTAGAAACCAGAAGGCTGCATGACATTATTATTTAGAAGCAGTTATTTGTGATGTTTCCTCAAGCTATTAGGATACCAAGACAATTTACACCTTAACTAAAGGAAAAACTCCAGTAATCTTTCCCAGCTATCACACATATTTTTCCTGTGATCATCCTAAGAGGCCAGCAGCTGTTTTCTAACCTAAGCAAACCATTAAAAAACCCTTAGACTACACCTTAAAAACAACTTCAGGTACAATTACACCAGTATAATCATTGCAACTTGTTAAAAACCTCAAGGGATCACTTCTTTAATTATTATGACTTATTTGTTATCAGGCTTTTTTATGCCTGTGCTTCAGTAGCAACTTACTGACCCCACTTTTTGGGCTGGCCACTGATTTTGAGAATGGGATTGAAAGCATAAGGGTGTGATTTTCAAAGGCACCCGCTAACTATACTTTGCTGCTGAACTTAGTCCAAGTTGCAAAGGCTTAGGGTTTGTGAAAAGCAAACAAGGTCTGACTTAACATATAAATTTTTTACTCCCTAAAGTCAGACCTTGAGTTTGACTTCTAAAAGACCCAAGTCCTCCCAGTTCTGAGAACAAAAATGCATACAAAACACCTTTGGGGAAGATGGCACCTGTGAAAGAAGGCAAACATGAAACAAGTCAAAGATGAAGACAGTCCAGTGAAGCACATTCCCTAGAAACTACAAGAACCTATGACTGTAGACTTGAAAATTAAATTTGTTTGAGCCCGACCACTGCCCAAAACACAACAAAAATCAACTCAAGGAAAGAAGCGGTCAGGGAACCCCTACATCAGTTTGCTTAAACTTCTGTTTTCAGGGTGTAACTGCAAACTGAAGGAATAAGGTCTGCCTCCCAAACTTCCCTGATCTCACAACTCCATAAATCACCTCTTTGTTTTCTGACTTTTCATGACAGCTCTCTGAAATCCAGCAAACCACCTTCTCTGGAATTTCAGGAGTAGCTTAAAGCCTTGAGCACTAAGTTAATACACTGCAGAGAGATTAAAAAAATAATAAATTGCTATTTCATTCTTCCTCCCAAGACACATGTGGTGAGGAGGTCTCTCTATCTAAAGAAAAGATGGTTTCACAAACATTTCTGATACTCATCTAACCCTCACATAGTACTTTGACGAATTTACTTTTACAAGAAGGATATACTATTTCATTCACAGATTTTTGTTCCTTTCAATAAAGACAACAGAAACAAAAAGAATAGCTCTGTTTAGTTTCAAATATTTAATATTAGCATTAATATCAATATTTTTAAATGTTGCTAAAGTCATCACTGTGTAAATGTACTGAAAGTTTCAAGATTTTCTTCCAATACCTATACACTTATCACATGAAAGACTCAGTATATTTCTACTTTCACTTTTCAAAACAAATAATACCATTCCCATATAACTACACTGAAACATCAAGCATTTAGACAGCGTCAGTCTAGTTTCTAATTTTTTGAACATAAACAGGATTGCATTTTAACACTGTAATCTGTAAGCTCTATCAAAAAAAAAGATCACACCTTTTTAAAATTAGTCATTTACATTTCAAAGTATTTATTTTAAAGAATCTGGGTTTTTACCCTTAAAAACAGGCTCCATTACTGAACTGAAGCAGCTTAAAAAAGCCTCTACTTTTAATATGGTTTTCTAATGTTTTGGGGTTTTTTTTTAATTTCAAAAAGACTGTCCAATTTACAATATCTGCATCATATATGGGCTGCAGAACAAAGGCTTTTCACACAAGCCTCTGTACTGCTATTGCAATTTTCTTTGTCCTGGCTCTTCATGGATTTTCCTTTAGCATCAGAAATATGCACCTTTACAGAGAAAAGTATTTTGGACATAGAAATATGACCAGCAGCATCACTTTCTAATAGATAGAAACTGAAGTTACTTACTCTCTCAGAACCTGAACTGTTTTCTGCACAGAACCAGCTTTCAAAGAATCTAAGATGAGTATACAAGGCCTGTACACAACAAAAACAAACAAATCAGTGAAGTCTTTCATTAACAACACTACTGAAGCATGTATTTTGCTTGAATATAGCCTAACAAGAACATCAATATCTGAACAAACACAGTAAAAATAGACAAGTTCCTACAGCTGTGGCTTTATGACAAATAACTGAATGACTGCAAAAATTTTTAATATAATTTAATGATACAGTATTAGTATGAAAATAGAAACCTACCTTTTACAAATCTGCCTTTTGGAATTACTTAGGGAAATCTGGGAGAAGAGAAAATAAAGATCATCTTAAAAAACACACAACAACTATAAACTTAAATATGTTTGTAGATTTAAAGGTAAAGCCAGAGAGGCTCCCATTTCAGAAAGGGAGAAACTGATAAATAATTCTTAAAGTCACGTGAAAGCATAGCATAGGCAACATAGGTAGGCAGAGGAGGACTTCAGGCTAATTCAAAGTGCCTTGCACATGCTGCAGGCCACACAAACATCGGCAGCTGCAAAAAAGAGATGATGCAAAATCACTTGGTCAAGTCTCAGAGCCTTCAGAAAAAAAGTACTATGTTTCCTCTGTCAGTACAAAAAGGCACTTACTTTAGAAATACCTGAACCCAGGACTGAAGCTGAAGCAGCAATTTCATTGCCACCTAGTACAAGAGAACAAATTAAAAAAATCTTAATATCTCCTAATTGAAATCTTTTCATTTTCAAATTCATGATTATCAGTATTCAAAATAAGATAGTAAAGTATCAACTGATTTTGCTTCCCTTCTAAATGTTCAAATACTAAAGTTACTGAGGGTCTGCCTTACTGATAAAATTCTTCTAAGAACTTCCACTCATGATGGGATCTGAGCCACTGACTTTACATGTCCCTTCCAATATTTTCCAGTGTTGCAGACAACCAGAACACAGTGCAGTCCTTGCTATGAATGGTAATACAGAAATATATTACATCAATCTTGATATGGAAGGTAATTTTTAAGACATCATATCATAGAACGGTTTGGGTTG